ACCATAACCTGTTGAAATCCTCCACCTTCTCTTCTCTCTCTGTCTCTCTCTCTCTCTCTCTCTCTCTCTTCTCTTTTATTCATTTTTTTTTATTCACATTTATTTATAATATAATATATAATATTATATATAAGTAGAAATTTAATATTAATATAATATAAATATTATAATTATAATATATAATAAAATATTACATTATAATATATCATATATATAATATTATATATTTATAATATATATAATATATACATAAAGAGAGGGAGGGAGAGCGGGCATAACCCGATCTGGATAAAGGAAAGAACCACGCACTGAGGCGAGGCAGCCGGGTCCGACGGCGGATCAGGCGGCTGTCGGTGTCCTTGGTCGGCGAATGGTCGCCGAGTTGGTGGGCTTAGCCGAAGCAAATGAGTAGATCAAATGGATCTAGGGGCACGGCGGCTTTGGCGTCTAGAGTCGGAGATGGAGGGGGCCTTCGCTTGAGAGTTGTAGAGGGACTGGAGGTCGATCGGAGGCAAGGTCAGAGGTGACTGCGGTTGGGGTGTTTGCCGGAGTCGATGTCGAGTGCCGGAGATCGAGAGCTTTGAGGTAAGTCACGAAATCTTCTCTTCGGTTCGACTCTGATCGCAAGAGTTTCTGTGTGCGTCAGAATACCGAATGAGAGGAGGTTTTTTTTTTTGTATCTTGAGAAGGGATGGTTATGCGATCGTGGGAGGCAAACGTGTGGAGTCAAGGGTAGTTTCTTTGTGTTGGTTTTGATCGTGGCTGAGGTGGAGTCGGTCGGGTTCTCTGACAGTTTAGAGGTCACAAATGCCCCCGAACTAACATGATAAGCGCTTAGTAAGCAGATCAATGTTTGTTGTAAGCTAGTTGATTCTACGGATCTCTAAAATTATAGTTTTAGATGTCACATAGAGGATCTTTTTAGAAATCCATGATTTTTCTTTAAGATTTGTCATGAATTAATATTTCTTCTACTCTAGCTTTGTGTTTTCATGAGTTTGATGAAGAATCTTATTGAGGACCTAAACTCTTTAGAATGATATTAGGTCAGTGATAAATAGTTATCAGTCCGAAGCTTTATGCATGATGGACTTTTGATGATAACAATATTCCTTTAGTTCACCTATGGCTTTATAAGAATGTGGAATGACTTCTTTGATGAGCTTTGTGCTTTGTCGGATAAATCTGGTAAGAAGTGAAGCTCCTTCGATCCTTAGCTTCATGCTTAACAGATTTAATTGAAGGATGCGCTTCCTATAAAGCTTACGAAAATTTTTATTATTGGCTTGGTGTCTTTGATTAGTATGAGAAATTCTTTTGATTTTGCCTCAATCATTTGTTATTGACGAAAATCTTCTAATCCCAGAACTGTTTGATTGTTTAAATTTGAAAAATATCAAGACTTGATAGTTATTTATGTCATCGGGCTAAACAAAACATGATGTTTTCCTATTCATGGCCTCTTAATAACGGCTTGTTGAGTAGGTAAAGCTGTCAGTGACCGGCCATATATAGCTTGTTGAGACTAGATCAATATAATAGTTTGAGCACTGAACTTGTACTATAGAAATTAATATTTTGTAAATTTGATTTGTTGAGTAGTTAGATCAAATATTCCCTCAAATCCTAGTATTTATGCAGTTGGTACGCTTCAATAAATGATTTTGAATATTTATTTTGGGGATCAACGAATAACCGAAATATAATATTTAAATGCCACCTGCATTGAAGGGAAATTTCATCCGTCATTAATATTTTTGAAGCATTTTTAAATTTAAAAATGTCCCCTGTCTTGTGAGAAAATTCTAAGACAACTTAGAAATATTTCTCCTTTTGGAGGAGATGATCTTTAAGGTTTGCTTTCTAAGAATGATATTTCTTCAATATCTCCCATTGATCGGGGGCATAGGGTCGTTGACCTTCTAGATCTATGAGTTGATATACTCCTCCCTTGGTACACCTTTTGATAACAAAAGATCTTACAATTTGGTCAAATTTACCAACCCAATTCTTTGGTGTGAAATAAATTATCTCTCAAACCAATGATTTATTCAGGATGTTTCATTTCAATGCTTCAAACTTGAATATATGATATTTCGGTTCTCTGGCCGTGGCTTTGTGCTGTGGACATTGATGAAGAATTACTGATTTTTTTACTGACTTGTCAGGAGATTTATACCTTCTGCCATTTGCTTCTAGCTTTTGCGGGCTTGAGAAGGATGTAGATGTCGGAGACTAAATTCTTTAGGTTGCACTAAGGTCGTGGTAGAGAATCATCTTGCTATCAGCTCTGATATCCTCTTATCATTCTCTTCATTTGAAATTTCAAACGTCTTATGTGCTTGCGCAAGTGTTTCAATTGTAAGCACTTTCTTCTTGATTAATCAATTTTGTCCATCTCTAATGAAGGGACCTTCTCTTCTTCTACTGCCATGCTGAGCTTGATCTTCTTTGAGAGGTTTAGAAGAAGTGGGCACTGCTTCGTTGCGTATCGTCTAATAGCCACAGTGTTTGATGTGGCTACATCATTGTGCCCATCATAGTAAATTACCCTCAACTTCCATGGTGTCTCATCATCATCTTTTCTGTAATAGAAATCTCAAGAGTGACGTTCCAAAAGATTTTTGGGCTCTCATGTGGTATAGGAACTCTTCATTAGAGAGTATGATCACAAGTTGGACCTTATCTCCTGAGAGATGAAGTTGGTTGGACAATAGATTCCTTGGAAGATTTTCAGGTTGTCGACTATTGCGAATATCAGTATATGTACAACTTTTTCTTAGGTACGAATGTGAAGGATTCTTAGTGAAAGGCGGATCTCTGGAGGCTGCACCAGATTCACGCCTAATATCGACTTTCTTTACAAATAATCTTCTTCGGAGGTCACGGTCTCAAAATTCTTTACCCTTACCATTTGGGAACCTTTTGAAAGCGGATTCTGGATGCGAGGTCTAGTTTCACGCTCCAATTTCACCGGTGAGCTTGATCTTGATTTCTCTTGAGTTAATCATGGTAGATGGGTAACTCTCTTTGTGGATTCTCTAGTTTTGTTTGAAATGGCCCATTAGATTTCTTTCTTCATATAAGCCATCTCCTTGCAACTTCAGAACCTTGTGCACTCTAGCAGATATAAGTTTCATATCTCTTTTTCTGAGAACACGGAGTTTGTCGTGTTGTCCAGAAGACTGCTTCAATTCGGCCAGTAGGACTATCCTTCTTCACACCCATTTAAAATTTCCAAACTTATTATGGGTGGGGAACATTAACTTCCTGGGCTCTAAGGCTTGAGTGGTTGTGATGCCACAGTAATGGTTAGTTGAGCTCGTAGTTGCATTCAACTTTCTCCTCACGCGCTCTTGTAAGCCTTACCTCCAGATGAAGGAGGCTTCAGTATCATCCTTCTGGGTGCAGATAAACCATGATAGTGTGGTATCCTGGTTGGTATTATAGATATCTCTTCTTCAATTATGACCATCTTAGGGCAAGGACTTGGGTTTAGATAGCACTTTCGAAGGCAGGTCCTGGTTTGTTGAACTGCCTTGCAGTAGCGAGTTTACCAACTCCCCTGCGTGTTGCACGGAATAAGCACAGTCGTGCATAAGTATCAAGCAGAATTAGTCTCGTAGGATTGGCGCTCGAACATCAATGCCGTGACATAGGTACGACACATGCCTTTGCAGTAGCTGCAAGAAAATCTAAGCTTCCAAATCGGATGGTGGCTTTCAAGTTTCCAGTGTTTGATAGCAGCATTAGCTAGGCGAATGCTAGCACCGTCGTCCCAGTTGGATGTGAAGGGGCGTATTCTGTAGATTCCAGATTTCGCACAATTTGAAAGGAAAAGTTAGTAATTCAAAGTGCTACATCACCCCACACTTCAAGGCAGAGACTAGACAGAAATAAAAATATACTCAGAAAATTATTATTTAATTACATATTTTTATAAACCCTAAATTTAATGAAT